TTCAAGCAATTTTAAAGAATAATAATTATTTTGCTTAACTGCAATATTTTATTTTTTTAAATTTGAAGTCACTTTACGTAAACAATAATAGTTATGCCTAACTGCAATTTTGTTTGTACTTGACATTATACCTCAGTAAAATTCAAATTATTATATCTTTATAATATAAATATTATGCATTAAAATTAACCTCCAGAATTTTTTTGTAAACAATATTATTAATTTTAAGTCTGGTTTTGTCGAAAATTACATAAAATATAATTCACTTACCTTAATTGCTCTGTATTGCTCCATTGACGATTTAATTTATTTTTATTATTCAAGTAGGTATATAATATCCATGGATTTTTGGAGGATTTAAATTGTTCATTATTTTTATAATTTACTTTAATAACTATAAATTAAGGAGCGATTAAATAAAACACTTTAAATCCACTTTAAATGGTTTCAAGTAAATCGCAAAGATCTCAGGCCAGATGTATAAAATATTTTTGAAAACGGTATTGGGTTATCTTTTGTATGTGAGAGAAAAGTTCTCTTTGATTTCTTAGAGAATTATTAAGAATTAAATTTATAATTATTTTTTGTTATGAATGACAAATTTTTAGTAAAAAAATATTGATTTACTACGTTTTGAAAAATTAATGAGTTTTGTTTGATCACTCCTCAATTGAATGGTGTTATGCAACAGGGAACCACCCTTACTGTTGCAAAACTAAGATAATAGCGTCCGAAAAATTACGTGATTCCTTCATTACTGTGGTCTTAATTATAGATTCAACGTTTAAATTTTATTTCCAAATCGCAAATTTAGTACAAAATTTTTATTTCTTATATTTTTTTCATTATTTTCAATAAATTAAGTAAATTTGTTGGTTGGTCCCTTGTAGAATAAATTATTGTTTTATTATAACATGGAAACCCTCATTTGGAATAAGGGGATAAATAGATTTTAAATCTTTTAATTTTAGCTTTGAGATCTTCTCTTATTTTTTTTTGGAAATATTGATTTTGTCATATAAAACCATTGGTCAATTTTTATCCAACATTTCAACTTAAACCAGATCCAAGTAGCATGGATCCTTGTTGCAATATAAATATATTGCCGCTTGGCGCTGTATAAACTAATTTTAATATACATGGGAAAGTTGGCACAACCATGCAGCTTAAAGCTTTGTTCAAATTTAAAAACTTTGATTTCAGAGTTCTATATTATTTTGAATATTTTAATTCAGTATTTTTCCGCATGTTCTATTTCTTTAAAATATTTTCAAAAGGTGGCTCTACATGGCACCATTACGTTTATACATTTATCCCGCTTTTTTTTATTATGAGGGATGTTGCATAACACCATTCAATTGATCTCGTCCATAAAATGCGTTCAACCTTTAGAGGGAATGCGGTCAACATGGTGGTTTGATCAAGCGTCACACCAAGAAGTATTAATTAATTTTGCAATTTCGAGAATTTTGCCAATAAAATCAGCTTTATGCGACATTTAACTGGAGGGACAGCTTAAGAATTAAGACTGACATGGGAGAAAAAAATTGACGTATTTTAATTACAACTCCTTTTATTATTAGCTCTATATTGTAAAAGTCAACCTAATTGTATTTAAGATCTAATTGAATTGCATCATTAATTTTATTTTTGTTAAATGCCAATATTTTTGATTAAATCTACTTACAATGTTGATTATAAGCTATCTCTACTGTATCTTTTGTCCAAAATATTGAATAATTCTTTTAAAATTTAAAATATTTTAATTTTACTATTCATCCACCATCTAGAAATATCTTGAAGATATTATTTTAAAAGTGAAAATAAAAAGTTTTATTATACATACTTAAACAAATAGTGGATGAACATATTTGTAAAAGGGATAAGAAAAACACAAATATCTTAATTAAATGTTCTTTACTTGTTTATTGACATAAAAAATGTTGACACTGGAAGTCCCAAAATGTTGGCATCTTGAAGAAGCGAAATTAGGCGGTCCAGTTTTATTTTAAGCAATATTAAAGACCACATTGCAAACAAATTAAACTTATGTGAAAAAGAATACAATAACTGATTAAATTAAATAAAGTTGAGTAATTCGACAAATACAATATATATTATGGTTTATCTATTTATTTAGGAACTACTTGAATGATACACGTACTTTTAATACAATGTTACTGTAATAAATTATTACTTTTTTCCTTAAAAATAATCAAATAAATATTTATTAAACCACTGTTAGCTTTAAACCAAGTCCTAGATCCTTGTTGCCTTCAATATGGTATTTAATTGTAGAACTCTACAATTTTGGGATTAGAAACCTTATGGAACTACGTTTCAAAAACACTCTTGTTTATGGACGGTTTTTGCAGTTTTTATTTATTTAAATAGAATAGGGATTTATAAGGAATGTGTAGGTTAAGTAAAATATAAACAATATTTAAGTAACACCTGTGGTTACCGATGATTCCCATAAAAATGCATATGAAAATATACTTTAATTTAAAACCTTAAAATACGCTTTATAAACAATAACCCAATTGACGATAAATGAACTTAAAATTACATTTTCGGCTTCAATAAGTTATTAATGGTTTAAAAAACCTTTTTGTAAATATGCATAAATAAAATAATTTTTATCATACTACCACAAAATGTTTGCTTAAACATCAGTCTGGGGATGTATGATCAAATTGTTTTATTACCCTACTAAGCATGTTTACTGTCAAATAGACGACAAGGACATGCACAATGCTAAAACCGCATGCGAAATACTATAATATGGTCGCATATTTACTATTACGCAGGCCCCTGACGTCCATTAGACAATCGAAATGTTCAGTAGAAGCAAACATATTAATCACCCTGAAATTTTTTTATCGTCAGTTTGCACACTAATCAAATTAAAATTATTTTGAGTCCATTTTATATTTTATACATCTAAAAATAATCCTACGTTTAATTTTAAATACTAAAATATAAAATAAATTAGTATAGAAAATTATGTTAAATTGACTTATTCAATGCATACGAACAAACACAACTTTCAACAACGTTTGCATCATTTTTACTTTACATCTATACATAACACTCCGCCTAACTAAGAAAATAAATAGATTTATAAAATATAAAATAAACAATTAAATGTTTTACTACATAGTTTTTAACTTGAATATAGGTTTTATTTTATTTGCATTTCAATACATGTTAAAACATTTAAAAATGTGAATAGTGAGTAAATAATTATTTACGTCGATTTTTATATAACATGAGAACGTTTTTATCAAATAAATTAAATAAAGATTTAAATAGATGGCCAGTCTATTTAAGGCAGTTAAAACAATTTAGTACATACAAAATTTATTTTCTTATTTATAACATTAAAATGACAAAACTAATGGTATCATTTAAATGAATATAAATAAGGTAATAAATATTAATAAGATTCTAGCATAAACAAATTACAGGTTTGTAAAGTTAACCAATTTCTAAAAATGAAATTCCTAATTTTATAACCCTGCAATTATATTTAACATAGTTTTTCAATTCTAAAAACAATAGCCCACTAGTTTTACAATAAACATTGAAAAACTAAAAAACTATTATTTTTTAATTAAAAAAATCCCATTTAAAAGGGTTCAAATTAAATCTTAACAATTTTCAAATAATTAAAGACCAAATTAAATACATATTGTTAATAATATTTAACAATAAATAAATGTCATTTATTATTTGAAAATAATTTACTTTAAAATAACCCTTGGGTTTTAAATTTGCATGATAATTTTTTGTAATTAATACAAAAAAATAGGTCATACAAAGTGCACATTGTATTTTACAAAATAAAATTAATGCAAAATTTACATTAATAAATAATTTGTAAAACATAAAATAACACTTGGCCACAAAAGGCTAGCTTTTCAATAGCAACCTAATCTAATTATTAATTAAATTTAATTCAAAGGTGCATCAAACAATTGTTGACACAACATTTAAATACTTATTTAATAATATTTTCTTAGGCTGGGATTGAAAACAAATAAAAGAATTTTGAATACAAATAGTATACAAAATTGTAAAATTGGAAACATGTTGATATATAAATTATATAAACATGTAAAAGTTTTACTAAAAACCAATCAATAATAAATAATTACTGATTGAAATAAAATACCTTTACCATTCTGGTACAAATTTGCACAAGAAATTTACATTGCATACATAAATGGCTCCTTAACAAATATTATTGTAAAAGAGAAAATTATCAAATATGAACAATAGACAAAACAGACACAAAAACAAATATGCAAAAAATTAAGGAAACGTTTTAAAATATAAAATTATTATTATTATTATTAATTGTTTAAAACAATTTAGGAATCCGTAATTTTTGTCGATGATTTATAATTTATCATACAAAATAACAATTGGGTAATAAAAAACAAATTGTTTTCTATAACATTGATATTTTGTTCATTACTATTTTATATGGATAAATTGTAGAATCACCGACATTCATTGCATTATTTCCTTAGTTTTCTGCAAACATTTATGATATGTTAACTGAATGTAATAAAAAAATAAAAACCAAACTAATATTAGTTAAAGCAAGAATTGATACTGAAACATTAAGTTATTTTTGGTGAAACCTTACCTGCAAATGCAGGATTAAGATCGACAAGGATAACAATAAATAAACTACTTCAAAACTTATACATAGTTAATTTACCCATATTATGGGAAGAACTAACAATTTCAATAATATAATATAGTAAACCCACAATGTGGGATAAACACATTACTGCTTTAAAGCAATTTTTGCTGTAACCCAAACTCAAAAAGAAAACCTGATTTTGTTATCATTTTGAACCTACCTTACTTGAAAAATAAATAATGAAAAAGGTAAAATGACATGACCACAAAACAAAACCAGGTAAAATCTTACATTCAGTTATAAAAAACAGGTTTAACTTAAAAAAAATAAAGCAATTACTCACGGTGCCTCAACTCCATCCTTGCCAACTCCAGAAGGGCCAGCCTGATCATCAGCACTTGTCGAAGGAACGTCTGCATAAGCAGAATCATCGTCCATGTCATCATCATCATCTTCTTCGTCGCTTTCATTCTCAATCTGTAACAATTAGATGTGTAAAAAACCTGGGCAAAAATAGATCTTAGAAAATGAAGTACTTTAAGGAGGGAAGGGTCTATCAATTGCTTCTAAAACAAGATCAAATATGAAATTTTAAAGTGTATATGGTCATTCCTTTTGAACCCAAATTTTTAATGTTTTACTACCCCCTAAAACCGTTTCCGTAAATTTTTTCACCCAACTGAAAAATTTTATGAATTGTTTTTTAAATTGTAAGGCTCATAACTTTTTTAAAAACAATCAAGATGATTTTTTTAAATTTTTTGTTTTTAAGTGTACCTACATTTCAGAAAAAGCATTTTTCGTAATGTGTAATATTTTATTTATTTTTTTCATATTCCATAGTCGGAAAAGTTTTCTTTCTATTTCTTTTTAATTAAAGGATTTTATTATTTCGCAATCTAAGTTTGTTTTTATAATAAAATAAATAAATCTACATAAATAAAATTAATTTAAATCTACAGAAACGTTTTAAGCATTAGAACTAGTGATGTAAAAAATAGATTTTTTTTTCAAATTTGAAAAAACTTTTTAAAAACCATGTTTTTTTTTTCAACAAAAAAAACAAAACAAAGTTTTTTTTTAAATAATTTAAATAATTATTATAAAAAACATTCCTAATAATTAAAACAGCGTTTGTTTTTTGTTTTCTTTATGAATAAAATAAACAAAACAATTTTTGACAAGAACAAGTTTCACCATCTAGAGTGTGTTAAAGACGCCAAGAAAAATGGTAGATTTCTATTAAAAAATAAGGGATTTTGTGCTTGTTTCCAGCAAAAAAATTTTTTTTTCCACGAAATGAATTTAAAACTCACGACAAAGCTTCTAATCGACAAAGCAAACTACAGCATCTTGTGCCGAACTATTTCAGGGGAATACCCTTTTGTTCCGAAGTATAATAAGAAACAGATCGCTTTGATATTGACGTTAATGTTAAGTCATACTGCATGCAATAATATAGAATAGAGAATCTCTATCAAGGAAAACAATGTTTCTGACCCAAAGTTGCAAACTTTCCTAATTGGATTTTTTTTCAATTTCATTTTTTTATTAATGTCACCATATATTTTCACTTTTAAATTAACACTTTCATAATTTTTTAACTTGGTAGCATAAACCATTGCATTTTTATTTAATAGTTCTTAAACATGTTACGTAAAGAAACATTTGTGTTTTTTTTCTTTTTCAGTTTTTTTTTTCAAACTTTGTAACATACGTTTTTGTCATTGGAAACTTGCTTTCTTTCATTAATCCAATCAAGCAAAAATAATTATTTTTCCTTGCGCATAATTCACGAAAATTTGCAAAAAATTTATTAAAAATACAAATGGAGAAATTTAGCAAAAAAGTGTTATTTAAATTTTTATTGAATATCACATTTTGAATTGCAATATTACAAATATGATTTTCTTATTTTAAAACTACCAAATAATAATAAATTATAGAGTACTAAAAACTATTAGAACTATGCAGCTAAGCTGTGGAACGACGATTTCTAATACAAGCCCTAAAAACTAAATGTTCCAATTTCCAATTTTCATAAATATTTACTCATTTCTCGTTAAAGAAATATCATTTATTTGCAAAAATAATCGAAGATCTACTTTAAGGGAAGTAGTAAAAAATTACTAGTTTTTATAAAGAATAAAACAAAAATCTATTTAAACTAAATAAATTATTTTATTAAAGCCAAAAGAAAAACCATCTAATTTGGGCCAAGTCTAAATTGCACTGGACACCAGAAGATTGGGTCAAAGTCAAATTATTTGGGATAAATCTGAAGCATTTCATAAAGACTGTTTAAAAAGGACTGTAAAATTTGCAAAGGGGGTAATGATTTGGAGGTGTATGTCTAGAAAGGGTGTGGGGCATATGGAAATAATAGATGGAAAAGTTAATGCAAATACATATCAACAAATTCTACAAAACAGCCTTATTCCCAGTGTAGAAGATCTTTATCTTTATGGTTTTTTAAAACGTTTTTTTTTCAAATTGGAAAAAACGGTTTTTTCTAATCACTAGTTCAAGTTTATTGATTTTAACATTTAAAAAGATCAAAATTGCAGATAATTTCCAGCTAATCCATATTTTTGCACAAACAAACCACATACAATAAGCAAATAGTATTAGGGAAAATATTTAATTTAATACCTTTGTCATTGCTTCATTGTCAAAATCATCATCCTCATCTTCAGACTCTGGTGTGACATTTAAGGAGGCCTTGACGGCGGCTGCTCGTCGCGCCCTCTTTGGTGGAGGTTCATCGGAAGTTACTGTAGCCGACGGTCCGGCGGAAGATGACGCCTCATCCCACTTTTCCTTGTAATTCATTTCTTGCATAAATATTTGATTTTCCGCCGCATCTTCCATCGCTTCCTGCTTAACTATCGTTTCCGACGGTTTGTTTGAACATTGTTGTGCCACCACCGACATCGTCTTATCTGCTGTTTCCGTGTTTGCTTTAAGTCCTGCCTGATCCAACCATGTCACTAACTGTTTTTCCGCGTTTGCGCTTGTGTTCCAAAATTCATATAACATATCAAGTTTGTAGGAGCAGCCATCACAAATTTTTTTTGGTAGTTTATCATTTGGTGCTATCTGTAATAAAAATAATGGTTTAATATTGTAATTGTTAGGGTCAATAATTGCCTCCAACGGCTCATAGGTTTTTATTTATTTGACTGAAATGGTGAAAAATAATACTAATTGTTAGCGTCAATTGCCTTCAACTTCTTATAGGTTTTTATGTATTTGTCTGAATTGGTGAAAAGGACAATTTTTCTTAAATCTTTTTTTGCAAACTAAGGGAGAACTTTAAACTATAGTGAATTAAGTTCACCACTAAGAAATACATAATATATTATCTTAAAAATTACTTTGAAAAAACTACATAAATATATTCCTTGTAAATACTAAGGCAAATATTTTTTTAAATAGTACACGTGCCTATTTACAAAATAGGCAAGTGTATTTTAAAAAAATATTTGCCACAGCATAGCAAAAAACCATGGCGTTTTCTTAAGCAAACAGTATTTAATTATATTTTTAATAAAAACAAATTCTATAAAAATATTATAAAAGTTAAAATGATTCATATTGAAAAAGCGCAGCATTCTATTACAGTTTTTCCAAATATATTTATTTACACATTAGATTTTTGTGTTCATATATTTTTTTGTATAAAATATTTGAGGAGGTGCATTCCAAAACTTGGCTTATGCATACTAGGTGATTTAGAGCAAAATGTCAAAAACCTTAAACAAAATAAATAAGCATAAGTACAAAATTTATATACCTTGACTAAAAAGGTATAGCTCTAATTTGAAATAATTTAAAATTACATACGTATAAGCCAGTTCTGACATGATATAACCTATAGATAAGCCAAGTTTTGGAACAAGTCAATTTGTAAATGAATTTTAAATGGAATAAGGTGGGTTTTAGAATATTATGACCTTTTCAGGGTACAGGGGGCTACATGTTAAATGTACAGACACCACTAACACATTTTTATTAAAAAGTGGATAAGCAGAGTTTTGGAATGGATCTTCTCATTTAGCAATGACAGCTATGCCAAGATCATATTTCTTATTTGGTGTTTATTTTTTTTTAGTTGTGGAATTTTTCATCTCACATAGTGTTCCCTAGTTTATTTTTAATTTAATGTAAATGACTGGATTCTAGTAAAAATGCCCACAATTGTCAATTAATTGTGTGTGAGCTTTGCTTTGACCTATGTGCTTCGATATGACCACCTAGCAGAGCTGTAGTTCAATACAAGTTGAGCTTTTTCTCTTATAAAAATAGTTTATTGGATAAACATAAAAACAATTCAAAAGGATGATTGTTTGCTACTTGCAAATTCATATTTTGTTAAATTCGTTTTTTATAAATTTAAATTAGTTGTGTTTAACTATTTATTTTTTTTTGTATATATTTTTGTAAATTTTAATTTAAATTTAGAAGAAACGCGTGCATTTTTATTATTGTCTTTTTTGCCTATTTTGTCATCTATAAAGTTTTTTGAGTGCCTTTTTGGTATCCATTTTTAAATTTTTGGGTGCATAAAAGTCCGGTCTTTACTAATAAGTCTACCTAATTAAAAATAAACATGTAACGTCTTTATAATTAAAACGACTATCCAGAATAAAAATACAAATAGGATTTAGGTATATTATTATTAAAAATTAATTAATTAGTACGTCGACAGTTTATGTAATCCAAATTTCATCACTTGTCATAGATTTATACCTAACCCTTACTATAATAACACTTGTTTCTTATTCAAAATTACTCCAATGTAAATAAGATGAAGCATAGGAATTTTAATCAAATTAAAAATTTTGTTTTGACGTCAACAATACTTACAAATACTGTTTAAATAAACCTAATTACTCAACTAAACATTATGATAAATTAAAGCTTAAAAATTTAATAATTTTAAAAAGTATATGCAAACTGCTTAACAATAAAACAAGGTCTTTGCGTTTTTCAAAATGGCGCCGTATCTACGCTGTTCGACAAAGCCGAAGCTTTTAATATACCAATTTAACAATAACGATGCCTGAAATTATTGATATTACGCTTTTTAAGGTCGAGTGTTTTTCAAGATATGCGCAGAAGACCTCGATGGACAAAAACATATCAAGAATGCAAATTTAAACATCGCAAAGCAATTTTGATTTGCTAAATGCAGTTTGAGAAACTAAAAACACGGTTTTATTATACTTTATGCAACTAGAAACGCAAGCCAACACCCGAAGGTCATCGTTCCCCCGCACCCCGCTGCCAGACATCACCCTGTATATTGATTTTTATTTAAAAATGGGCACATTAAAACAATGAACAAAGACCACCTTTATGGAATAGTTAGTAACAAGACTACATTTAAACAAAGTAATGCAAAAGTATATTCATAAAAAATAACCGGTTAATTATTCGATAATTCCCACATTATTTCAATAGATTTATATAAGCTCAACAAAGCACAACATGTTTACGTAAGCACTTATACTTGTTAAATAATTGTTGAACTAAATACAAATAAAAAATATTTAATTCCTAATATGCTTGATAAATAGTAAACAGATGTCAAAAGATGCTGTCGAATATCAAGAATGTATAAAATAAATATGGCGGGTGACGCCAACTTACCTTAACCGGCAGGCAGGAACTAATTTTAAGAAATATTTGTCTAATATCACCTTGGTCTTCAAAAATTGGAATATTAACTTGGTCCTTAACTAAACAGAGTCTACATAACTGCATGAAATCACCACCGTTTTCCATTATTCGCCTTAAGTTTGTGTAAATTCATTGAGAGAGTTTAATATACATCAGCACAACTACACAGTCAGTGACGAAATGGACAGGGCGGAAGAGGAAAGTTACGTAGAACAAGATGGTGGCAGTTCTTATTGGCGTTTCCGCTTACCCGCCAAATTTAAATCAAGTTTATTAATTTGCGAATTGCATTGTGAAATTCAAATCCATTTACCAAATTGGTATTTTTTTTTAAATAAAACCAACAATATTGTTCAAGTTGAGATTCTAATAAAAATATTTATATCCAGCTTCAATTGACATTCTTTGGAAAGTTGAGCTATATTTTAAAAAAGGAATTCAAGGGATCGTGGATATAAAATATCATTAAGTTAAGTCCATAGTCGACAACCTGGCTGTCAAAAAACTGACATGTATGCAAACGTAAACATAACCTTTTTAAATTTAGAAACATAACCTCAAAATATTGAAGGAAAAGTCTTCATGTTATTCAGAAAAGATTTGTTTTTTGCAAAAAAATATCGTGCCATGAGTGTTTTTATACAAAAACTCAACCCAATAACGGGAATTAACGATTGGATAGTGCAAAATGAAGATTACGATTATCACCAAGAAGTGGCGAGGGCATCATTTGCCGACATGCTTCATGATACCGAACGGAATCAACTGTACGAAAAGGCATTAATTGCTGCAATCGATAAGATGCACCTTAAAGGTAAAAAAGCGAATGTGCTTGACATTGGGACTGGTACAGGGCTTTTGTCTATGATGGCAGCTCGTAACGGAGCTGATTCAATAGTAGCATGTGAAGCTTTTAAACCAATGAGCGAATGTGCAAAAAAAATTATTAAGCTTAATGGCTATGAAGACAAAATTAAGGTGATACACAAACGTTCTACGGAATTAACTGTAGGAAAAGACTGTGATTTAACGGAGAGATGCAATATTTTGGTCACTGAAGTATTTGATACTGAGTTAATTGGTGAGGGTGCATTATCTACTTTTAGTCACGCGCATAAAACTTTATTGGAAGAAGATTGTATAGTTGTGCCAGAGTCAGCAACTATTTTTGCTCAGGTTATTGAGTGTCCCTTAGTGCAAGATTGGAATAAATGCAAAGATATCTTTGATGAAGATGGGAAATTGTTAATAGCTGTTCCAAAAAATATTACTTATTGTGCAGGATCATCTGCTGTGCATGATATACAATTAAGTCAAATGCCTACAGAATCAATCAACACAATAGTTTCCCCAATACCAGTATTACGTTTTGATTGGTCTGGAAGAACACCTTTTGTTTACGAGAGATCCACTATAAACAGTGTGAAAGCAGAGGCTAGTGGTAAGGTACATGCTATTTTTATGTGGTGGGAACTCCAAATGGACACTGAGAATAAAATTATTTTATCGTGTGCCCCTAAATGGGCTCACCCACTTGGCAAAACAAATACAGAATCGGAAATTCCATGGAGGGATCATTGGATGCAAGCTGTTTACTATTTAGCCAAAGACTTTACAGTTGAAAAAGGAGAAGAGTTAAATCTAATTAGCTGTCATGATGAGTATTCTTTGTGGTTTAACATAAGCAAAGATTTAAAAATTATTGACATGCATTATTTGAACCCTATTTGTGAATGCGGTTTACACATATCATTTTCAAGAACAAGGATAGGCCAAATAAATGATAACAAAAGAAACAAAAAATACATATCCCTTTTACAAAAGCATGTTAGTTCAGAAAGCACAGTATTAATTTTAAGTGATGGGTTTTTCACTGCTCTAGCTGCTGCCAAAATGGGAGCTAAAAAGGTTTATGTGATAGAGACCAGCAGCATTTGTAGTCGAGTTCTTCAAGATTACATCAACTATAATAAGCTAGAAAATGTAACAATAATTCGCACAATAAATCAACTTGTAAAAGATAATGTTCAGGACATAAACTTGGTTATTTCTGAACCTTATTTCACCAGCAGTATACTTCCCTGGGACAGCCTTTTATTCATTTATCTTCTAAAAGGGCTCCAAACTTGCTTGACAAGTGATGCCAAAGTATTTCCCCAAAAAGCAATTGTTAAGGCAGTTTGTGTGCAATTCAAAGACTTGCATAAAATAAGATCACCTTTGGTAAATTGTGAAGGATTTTTGATGGATCATTTTGATAAACTTATTGAGGTATTTAAAAAAAACAATTTTTATACTTTCTAATATTTAAAAATGTTTTTCTGACGAAATTATTATATAAGAAATGACCTATTGCTTGCTCCTTTTTCTTTACTCTGTATAGTAAAAAAATATAACTTTTGTTAAAAATCTTTTATAATCTAAATTATTTTACATCTATAATTAATGGTAATATTATAACCACCCTAGGCAATTGAAATTATGTTATGCATGCATAGACATAATCTAAGTATATGAAATTACAAATTTGTTTTAGGAATCTAGCGATATTAGTGACGATAATGTGGAGGCTCAGCCGCTTTGGGAATATCCCTGCGTTGCGTTAACTAACGAACAAGAAATTTCCATGTTAGACATTCTAAATAATCCGACGACTCTGCAAGAATCTAGTGGGTGTTTTCAAATATCAAGGTAAACTAAATATAACTCAATAATAATTATACAATTAACAATAAACTGCAATGTTTATAGTATTAATATTCAACCCAAAATACTGCTGTCAAAATGGTATGACCAATAAATTTTGGTGTTCTGTTAAATAAAAAGATTTCTTATAAAAAGAATATTGTCAAAATATTTTTAATGAAGAAGTTGGGTAGTATAGTTTGAGACAAAGGTTTTTCAAATTATAGCTTAAAATAAAATAAAAGTAAAATTTTTTTTTATAAAATTTAAAGCCGCATAAATAATACTACTTTCCCCCAAGACATTTTATTTTAAAGTTAGTAAGTAATAATTAAAAATAACACAGTACAACAAAATTTGATTTTTTTCCCTCCCATGGAAAATTCCTATAGGCTTAAAAAATGCTACCCGTGTGCGATCCAATAAAATGTTATCCACGGTATTCGGCCCATAACAGCTTCGATAGCAGCTAGACTGTATAATATACAGTGTATATTTTTATGTATGTGTATGTATGTATATTTGTATAATATACAGTGTATATTTGTATGAAAAATTTATTCACTGAATAAATGGACAACCATTAAAATTATTTATTTATTTTAAAATTATTTTAATTATATACAGGGTGTTTCACGTTCGTGGTCCATTAAAATTTTTTTAAGAACGGCAAAAGATATCGATTTGAAATTTTTAAAGCGTTTATAATCCAATTAAGCCTATTATTCTAAAATATTTTAAACAAAACTTTGTTATTTTAATTAGAACACCACATATATTTTTACATTTTTAAATTTCACTTACAATGAGTAAAATTACTGAAAAGTTTTCGAGTTATTAATTTTTTTAAACACTTGGTAATAAAAATTGTTGGTTTATTAAATTGTTACAGTTATGCATTTTTTTTGTTAAATATCTCTAAAATTATTAACTTTAGGTATAGGGAATAGTGACATTAATCGTTTAATAGTTTTTTAATTTGCAATTTGATTGGGTAAAAACATACCTGGCATTACATTTATAATAAAAAAGTTATTAACGTGTCAAGTTAGCACAATTTGCACTGGGTTTTCTCGGGTAATTTGTTAAAAAATGTTAAAAAACTAACATGGAATCTTTTAAACAATATTTCAAGATTCCAAACATTTTACCCCCATATTCATAAACCTAATAGCAAACATCTAGAAAACTATTCACTTAGGTATAGGACGTGGTATAGTAATTTTACTCACAATTTTATATAGAATTCATAATTGTAATAATATATGGGGTGTTCTATTTGAAATAACAAAGTTGAAGTCAGTTCCGGTCAAACCGGAAGTGTCATTTTGTTCAAAATATTTAAAAAAAATAGACTTAACTGGATTTTATAAACGCTTTTAAATTTCAAATCGATATCTTTTTCCGTCTAATGGACCAAGAATGTGAAACACCCTGTATATCAAGTGGTGTTCTCTAGGTTGTGATACCACTATAGATTCTAAAGCAATGTATAATCTTTAAACTAAAAGATCAAGATTTGTTTCCAACATATATTTAGTAATATAAGATAAATACAAATCTGTTGACCAGAAATCTTTTTTTCTTTTAAATTAAAATTATTATTTTCTTTAAGTATAATTTCTGTATTATGTAAAAACATACAATATCTAAAGAAAAAAAATGATTTATAACAAAATACAGAATAAAAATCTGTATAGGTTAAAATAATAAGAATGGCTGTATAAAAAATTAAAATGACGTGATTTTGTGAAACGGTGAGACACAAGTACGTTTTTTAACCTTAATTTTTAAAATCTGTTAAAATTTTTCATGGGAGGAACATCGTGTTGAATTGTGTAATAACTATTTATTAATAATAATGTTGATTTCACATACAAAATAATATTATGTAAATTTTAAATGAAGGGGTATGTTAATGTTAAAAGTGCATTTTAGCATGAAAATAAGTTAAGTGCAGAATTGGGCAGTTAATTTTCTCATAACGTAAACATTGTCCAGATCCAGATTTTTGTAAATATATGGCAAAAACTAAGAGTTAATTTTTTTCACTTGTATCCTTTTGCTTCTTACCTCTTCAAATATAAAATATAAAAATATGTTCTAATCATTTAAGTGTAACGCCAATACCTGCCTAAAAATATCCTGGCGAAAGATAACTTATTATTTACATGTTTTAAATACTTAAAATCTTGCAGTGATTTGGAATGCAATGGAATCGCAATTTGGATAGATTGGGTACACGATGGCTCAGTTATTTCAACAGGTCCCACAGAACCCATTGTGGTGGGTGAAAAAATCGAATGGGACATACACACGCGACAAGGAGTCTGTTTATTCCCTAATACACTTAAAAAAGCAATTAATTATGATTTTAAGTTTGATTTTATAAGTGGAAATATTTTATTTAAATATAAGTTTTAATCTATGATTAACCTGTTGATTTATTTTCTTTTGCCAATATCACATTGTTATTTATTTCAGATCTAAAATTAGACTATGGCTTAATTTATTAATTTCCTGGAATTCACTATTTTGAAGGTACATAATATGTTTTTTTCCATTTTCAACGTGGTTTAATGATTCAAACATGTAAAAAGGGTTGTAATTTATATTTTAGATGGTTCTATTTTTTAGAAAACTTTCAGCGTAATCGTGACCCTAAAAAGTTAGTTACACCAATTGTTTTTTTATTTTTGCACTGTCATAACTTTTAAGGATTTTTTAAATTTTGGGATACGCAAGGTATTGTTAAAAGATTTTGATTTTAATTGGTAAAAATTTTGATAAACTCCAGTTTTAAATTCAAACTTATTAATAAAAACATTGCTGTGGCTCCTGTCCCGAGGCGGGACTTAAGTTTAGTCCCGAATGATGTCATAATTTTAAGATTTGTTATGTTACGATAAAACTAAAACAAACCAACCAACCCAACCCAACACTTTTTAACAAAGGAACAACAAATTTATAAAATAAAAAAATAAAAAAAGTTCGACAACTTCTAGTAGTATCGAACCCGGTACCTCTAGCATGCCAAGCGACCGCCTTACCATCTGGTATTTTTTTTAATCCATTGAAATTTTAATAATATTTAGTCAATAAATATTTGTCTTTTTAGAGCAAACTTAAAGATAAGAAAAGTCATCTAGAATATAAATTATAACCCTTTTTACATTTTTGAATCATCAAACCACAATAAAAATGGAAAAACCATGGAATTGACTAGAACTTTGATTTTGACCTAAAATAACTTTTGAACCAGTCAAGTTAGCAAAAAATCACAAGAAACCTTTTTTGTACTCTCTAAAAATGAAATAGTCAAAATTCTACTATTTGAATTAGTACCAGCATTTTTTACTAATAAAATAGTCGTTTTCACTTTTAAATAGTTATTTTTTACTACGTAAATAGTTAAAGTTTGACTAATTTAAGATTAGTCACCATATTTGACTATTTCTGACAGTTAAAAGTAACTAATTTCTTTAATCGTTTACGGCCAACAACAAAGTATTATTTGAATTAAATGCATATACCTCTCCATGGTTAAATGACCCATAAAACAAATAAAGATGCAAAAAGTTTAGCTCAAAACAGTAACAAAAATAATATATTAAACTTTAAAATATTATGAACAATATTTATTGACAAATAAAATTTATTTTTATAAGAGCGGCTGACAGCCGACTGGTTATGAGGTTAGGTTGACAAGCTTCTCAAGCGACAGACGTGAGTTCAATCCCAGGCTGGGTCAAAACTTTTTTTTAAATTTACTAATTTAACTATTTCATTCAGTTGAATTTGACTAATTATTAGTGACTGCTTTTTCGCTATGACAATTAGTCAAATATGACTTATAATTAGTTATTTTTGAGTAATTCATTTTAAGAGAGTAGAGCGTTAAATTTGTTACAAGACTATTTATTCTTCTATATAATCCGTTTATTAGTTCATGGCTTAAAAAAATCCAAAGTAATAACAGAACTTTTCCCATGTTATTTCCATTTAAAACTTTGGCTGTCGGGGGGGCCGGCTTAATTTTAAAATTTAGAGCTACAATTTGGCACATTATTTTTTTATATATTTGGACTATCGCACAGTGTTTCAATTCTCAAAATTTTCGGCAAAATATCAAGGAGTAGTCGGATTCTCCTAAAACTCCGTATATAGAGGTTTTTGGGGTCGATGATAACGAATCAGAATTCCAAAATTCAAAGGTAGATCCAAAATGGCGGACATATTTGTCAAAAAATTGACGGAATTAATTGAAAATCACCATACAGGGGTTTTTTTTGGTCGCTGATAATGAATCTGGAATCAGAATTCCAAAATTCAAAATGGTAGACCTCAAATGGCCGACATTTTTATCAAATATTGTCGAAATTAATTAAAAATCCGTAAGAGGTTCTTTTTAAAATGTAGTAAAACATCTTTTTATAAAATAGCTTAATTTAGTTTATTATAATTACATTTATATGATATTATTTAATACCTACATATATAATAAACAATCTCCGTCACTGGATTCACTCGTTGTATCATTAGCAGAGCATGGGAAACCATCAGAAGATAGCAACAGTTTTATTGCTTCGCGGGACAAAGATTTGCTCTTTTTCGGAGCAATTTTTCTGAAGCTAGAAATATACGAATCGGAAGATGCCATAAGCCAATGGAAAACATCTTCCATCGTTTTCTTCCGAGAAACTTTCAAAATTTATTTATAAAATTTAAACATAACAGATTTTATACTAAGTATTTTAAATTTGTATTATTTCTTTTACTTAATATTTTAGCAACGATTTCTTAATTCGCTAAAAAAATTGTCAACACAAATAACCACAATTCAAATTTGACACACAGAGAAAAAAGATGTTTTAATTCAAACAAGAATGTTTGTTTAATTTTATTTATTACATTTAAAAAAATATAAATTTAATTCAAAAACATTTCTTTAAAAAGAATAATTGTCTTTATTTAAAATGAAAAAGCAAATTTATTAAAATATATATTTAAAACAAAGTACCTGACTTTTATTTCAAAATTGCACTTATTCTGTTTAAATAAAAGTTGACTTTCTTAAATTATAAAAACAATTTACTTGTTTTAAAAAATTAAAAAGTTTAAATTAAACAACAAATATTATTTTTTAAAAAACATGGTTTAATTTTAAAATATAATTTTGATTTAATTCAAAAAAATTAATTATTTAAAATAAACAAATTATTATTTAATTTAAACAAATTATTATTTAAATACAAAAAAATTGTAATTTGATTTAAAGCAGAGGTTTATTTAAACTTTTTTGCTCACGTCGAAGTAGCATGACTTGCATCCTATTGGTTGCTGTAAATCAGGCGACTGCAGGCACCCAATGGGCTTTCCATTTTGTATGTACGTGATTTTAGAGACTCCAATTTAGAGCAGGGTGTTGATGAGAAGTGTTGTGTGGCATTATAATAAAATAATAAATAATTTTATATTATTTTATACTATGGAGGACCTTTTAAAGGAATGGGGTCTTGAGAAATTTATTCCTGTTTTTAAAGGTAAGTAATTTAAATAATTACTTATCATTATTATTTGCAGACCCTGGTGGATTTATGCAGCACACATTAACATTAAGTTAAAATTAACATAAGTATTTTTTAAGTTAGTGAAGTATTTGTATATTTTAGGGTTTCCTATATGTATTTATAAGACTTTTATGCAATAAAGATTAGTGTTTATTCATAAAAAAATTAATTTATTTTTACTCCCCAATATACCAATATATATTAATTACTATAGTATAGATAAGATGAAAAAAAACATTATTAATTAAAAAAATATATCTTTTAATCTGAATAAATAATTTTTGTTAATTCAAATATAATAATTATTTAATTTAAATAAATAAATCTAAATTAAATTAATAATTTCTTCTTAAATTTAAATTAAAATTTATTAATTTAAAAAAAAATATCTCTTAATCCAATTAAATTGTTTTTAACACAAATATTATATGTATTTAAGTTAAATAAATTAATTTTAAATGAAATAAATTATCTGTTTAACGTAAATAAAAACATTTTTTTAATTTAAAAAAATACATGTTTTTTACTTGGTTTTATTTCATACAAACTAATAATATTTGTTTGCGTTGAATAAATTAATTTTAAATTAAATAAATTAAAACAAATAAATATTTTTTTATATTCAAAAGAACATTTATTTGGGTATATCGAAATAAATAATTTATTTGATATAAATAAAATTTATTTAATTCAAATAATCTTTTTTCTCTGTGCATTAACACACTACAATGCGCATGCGAAGTTGTTTTATCGCACCTACAAGAGGTGGGTTAAATATGTAAAATCGGTGTTAAATATCTTAGTAGTCACAAACGATTTACGAAGGTGAAAGTCTAGACACCGCTGTTGTAATAAACGTTTTGAGTTAAATCCGAGTGAATCGAGTAAACGTCATAAACGCAACCCAAAAATAAAAAAATCTTATATTTTGTAAAGCAAAAACACAGATACGCGCTCGACATAGGCTTAAAATCGCGAGGTTTTTTTACCACAACCGTGCCTGAGCGCCCAAGAACATGTAGTTTTAAAGAGCCGGGGGCAAGTTGGGGCAGCTAATTTATTGATGGCTTGATAGACAAAACTCTAAGCTATTCAACGGATCTTGAACTGATGCCTTACAATTCATTACAATTTTTGTAGCTCCATTGTTCTAAAAGCTCGATTCAAAGTTTGCGATTTTAACAGACCGATCTTGTCGGTTACAATAACCCGTTGTACAAGCAAAATCTACGAAAAACAAATACATATCTGAATTTTAGATACCTTGAAGATCACCCTTCATCAAACCGCATAACAATCGGACACACCAAACACAAGTTATTCACTTTTAAACAATAAACAATTTTCCGCAGCGATCGCGTGTAAAGTACCTTCAACTGAAAGCGTCAAGTTTAAACTGATGTACAAGAGAAAATATACGTATTTTATATATATTTTTTTCAATACAGGATGGAGACAGGTATTAACTACCCATCTAACTCAAAATTTACCTGAAAAAAAATATCAATTTTTGAGGTTTTGCCGATATTTTCCAAAATTGAAACACTGTGTATCGTGAAGAAAAATTCGAACACACCCTAAATAAGGACCACCCTAATATATATATATATATATATATATATATATATATATATATATATATATATATATATATATATAGATCTCTAAATTAAATAATAATAATCTCTAAATTAAATAAAATTACTATTAGGTTATAATAAACCTAAACTAAACCACAATAATATTAATATGATTTAATTTCAATAGCAATATAATATTTTCAATATTCAATATAAACGCCATTACTAGTAAAAGTGTATACAAGTTTTCTATTGTAACAAAAATTTTAAATTTTTTTTGCACAAACTACTACAGTTAAATTTTTAAAAAGTGGACTGTCAAATCTATGTTGGTGGAATTTCTTTTTCCATGCGAGTAAGTTGTATGTTTCTGTCAGTGTCGTTAGTGGGCCCAGCCAATTGTCCCTGTCTCAAACGAATCCTCATGTCCAAACAACGAATATCGGTCATCAACGACTGATTTTTATTAAACAAGTCCTGATCGATCAAAACTTGTTGATCCTCCAACATGTTAAAGGTTGCCTTTGCGCAATTTATTTTGTCTGTTAAAACCTGTTTGGTTTGTTTTAACGACAACACTTCGGCCTTCAAGCCCTCTTCAACTTCGTCAATTGCCAATTCAAAACCTAAAATATTAAGTTGTTATTTTTAGCAACAAAATTAAATTCATATTGCGCACCTGGTCTGTAAGAACGGTTCTCCAATCTGGTTTCGCACAATTTTAAAGCGTCAGTCTTTGCATCAAGAGAATCTTCCAAAGTCTTTATCTCTTTAAGTACCTTGTCCATTTCTTCCCTCATTTTTAATAGCTGCCACTCGAGCTCGTTTCTTGATTTTTGCGTTTCGTATATTCTCTTCCTCAGCGTAAAATCGGTGCGGTCTCTTTGCGCGAGCATGTCATTTCTGGCCCTTTCGCGTACAACGAATAAGGCTTCTCGAAATTTGTGGGTGTCGACCAACTCGTTGTTGGCTAATCTCCGTATGTAATCAGTGTGCTGTAGCCAGGTTTCATATGTTACCGAACTAAAAATTATTAATTAATATAGGTAATGTCTACCAAGACGTCCTACCCACGGTGTGCCTGAACGAAGTTTAGGTCACATAAAAATGACGCCAAAAACTGATTGCAGTTTCTTGTTCGGGACCCTTTGGTGACTTAAAAATGATATTTACCAAAATCCTAGCTGCTCCTCTTTTCGAAATTTTTTGAAAATTCATGATTTTTTTTTTAATTTTTGTTTATGGGTAATTCCATTTATTAGCCACCAATGAGTGCACCTCATATACTCTAATTTTATTTCTTTTTTAACTGTAAATAGACATGGACCCAAGAAGTGAAAAAAACTCCCCTTTCCTTTTCTCCCCCTATCACCTATTTATACAGGGCTACGCAAAAGTTACTATGCAGACCTAACTTAAAAAAATTGTACTTTTTTTTGCTAATAAAGCTATCGACATTAAACAAACTGTTAATTGTTAAGAAAATATTTCTCTTTTAAACCATATAGGACACATTTAGTTATTGATGCCCTAAATGGTCTTTGGGAATTTTTTTAAAAATGAAATTTTTTGGCAAAATTGTCTAATTTTATAAATTTATATATTCTTAGAACAACTTGCCAGCAAAATTTTTTTAATGTAGCTTGTTACCATAGATCCTACTCTATATAAAAGCAATGATAACATTTTCAAATAATATTGGCTAAGAGTTCAAAAAAATATAATAAAAATCTATGTTTTCGAAAAATCACTATTTTCAGCCATTTCATGGTTTAAAAAGGCTATGTTTGAGTGAGTCGATTTAAACCAATTTATGCTTATCATCACATGCACTTATTAGCCTCCAATAACCATTAATAAAATTATTGTGTATTTTGCTTTTAACTGGGCTGTGGCTATATGTACAGCCCAGCTATAAGCAAAATACACAATATGCCCACCTGACTTTAAGCCATTTCATAGTTTAAAAAGGCTATGTTTGAGTGGGTCGATTTAAACTAATTTATGCTTATCATCACAGGCACTTGGTTTTCAATAATCATGAATAAAATTATTATGTATTTTTCTTTTAGCTGGGCTGTGGATGTATATGTCCACCTGTGACTATATCCATATTATTAACCATATATTATTAACCATATATTTCGAAAAAGCGTATTGCATCTTTAAAATAACTTGACAGCCTTGAATTGACTTTTAATTCATTCTAAATAAAAATATAAAATATAAAAACCACATACAGTGGCGTCGAAAATTAACTACCCATTTATTTATTTTTTAAATTAAGAAAACATAATCAAATGTACAAAAAATTAATTAAATGACTAAAAGACATACTTTTCATAAACTTTATATTTAAACAAAATAAAACAGGTATTAAATCCTAAATTTGAATTAAACCTAACTGCATATAATTAAACTGAAGAAATCATATCCTTAAATTTTACAATCACCTAAAAAACCTATTTACTATTTTTTACCTCTAAAAAGTTATATGAATCGGAAAATTTTCTTATGTGTATAATGTATATCAAGAGGAATAAATTAACGACTTATGGCCTTTGTCCGAGCGGACAACACCCTGTATAACAATATTGTCATGCGGCATAGCGTACATACGCGGGGCAGAAGGTCGCGAGCAATGATAGCAGAAGAATCAAGTGATACCGTGTAAAGGTGCAAACTTTCAAACAATTTTAATTATGTTATGTATACTAGGGTGGGCCAAAAAAAACTTTTAATTTTCTTTTCTTTAGGTACCATGAAAATATCGTCCAAGATGACGAAAAAAAAATTCTGATAAAGTTTTAGCTCTTAATATCAATATTAAGAGGTGGCTCATCGCGATTTTTTATTTTCCATTTAAATAACACGGGAAAAATAAATTTTTTTGTTTGGAATTTTATTGCGTTTTAACGAATCAGTGAGTTGTAGAAATCAATACATATTCTTGTAGGGAATTAAACGATCTACAAAAAAGATCTTATATGATTTTTTGCATAGTCGACTCTTTTAAAAGTTATTTGAGGTTAAAGTTCAACTTCAAATAGTAAATGATGACTTTTATAGTTTTTCATTCTCTATCACGAAATATTGTCTCAAAAACATGAAATATCATATTTTTCGTGAAGTTTATCGAGTGTTCTTCGGTAAAACAATACAATACCGTGAAAAAAACGTTTTTTTCCTATATTTATTTTTTTTTAATTCGAAATTTTTTCTTTACCTGAGACAAAAAAATTAATCATATATTATATCACGAGAACTATGAATTTAATTATTTTGCATGAAACTATTTTTCAAAAAGAAAAATCAAATAAAAAACTTACTGAGCATAGTTTGACAGATTAAATTTATAGGTTAAGTGGTATACATCTAGATTATTTCCATTTATTTAAGGTATGTAATAAGTAATAATTGATATTTCGTAGACTAGATAACTTATTTTTTATTGTTTTTTAAAAAATGTTTGTTAAAACTTGTAAATAACACCATAAAATCGTAAACAAAAATCCAATATGGAGGCTAAAATGTAATCGCTGTTAAATAGTTCTAGTGATTTAATCGAAATTTATTTGAAAATTCAAGGCTTTTGATTGGTTCATATTATAATGAGGGAAATAATCATTAAAAAATAATAAATATTCTATTTACACTTGACTATTAGGTAATGTAGAGTAATAAAAGTCATGTTTCAATAATTTTTCAATTAAAATAAAAATGTTTATTTTAATTGATAAATTATTGAAACATGGCTTTTATTACCTAATAGTCAAGTGTAAATAGAATATTTATTATTTTTTGAGAAAATGATTAATTTTTTGTCATTACTTATGTAAAAAAAATCGATTTTAAAAAAAATCAAGTATAGAAAAAAAAACGTTTTTTTTACGATTATTGATATTTTGTAAAAATTATATTGTTTTACCAAAGGACACTCGATAAATTTCACGAAAAATATGATTTTTTATATTTTTGAGCCAATATTTCGTAAAAGAGTATGAAAAACTATAAAAGTCTTCATTTACTTTTTGAGGTTGAACTTTAACCTCAAATAACTTTTAAACGAGTTGACTAAGCAAAAAATCAAATCAGATCTTTTTTGAAGATCGTTCAATTCCCTACCAGAATGTGTATTGATTTCTACAACTTACTGATTCGTTAAAACGCAATAAAATTACAAACAAAAAAATGTTTTTTTCCCGTGTTATTTAAATGGAAAATAAAAAATCGCGATGAGCCACCTCTTAATATTAATATTAAGAGCTCAAACTTTATCAGATTTTTTTTTTCGTGATCTTGGACGATATTTTCATGGTAACTAAAGAAAAAAATTAAAAGTTTTTTTTGGCTCACCCTAATGTATACTGTAAACTATATGTGAAAGGTTGGGCCCACTATTGTGCGTGTGATAAACTTAAATGTGAATTTTAACAATTTTACTCCAACTGAAGCGTGCGAATCCAGAAAATCCACGGGAAACACAACATCTGTACAGTCCACTAAAATAAAACGACGACCAATAAGGTAAGCCCCCCACAGCCTTTAAATGGATCGCAGCAGACTTCACCAAAAATGTTGGTAAAATTATATACTTTAGATACTTTAATTTGTGATACCTACGTACAAATATCGGTTACAGTTGTATCCACTCGCTATTCTGTTATTTGTTTTCCTCCTTAGTACAAGATTCAATCTTGGAAAATCGCAAAAAATATTTTTATCCGAAATCTGCCGAAAGTAGTCAACAATCGGCAGTAAAGTAAAAGAAATAAAGTTCTACTTTACTGCCAAAGTATGTCTTTTAGTCATTTAATTAATTTTTTGTACATTTGATTATGTTTTCTTAATTTAAAAAATAGGTACCGTAAACACGGGTGGCTTTGGCTCACTTTCAAACTTCAGCTTAAAATTTTTGTGGTTTTAACAATCATAAACATTAAATTTTGTATACCAAAATTTGAGTCTTGAGTTGCTCTTTCATAATAACTATGTTATAATATTACATAGGGCTGAGTTTCAAAAATAAACATTAAAAACTGGGTGTGCAAAGTTACCCCCTGGTTGCGGGTTACTTTGTCTCACAGTGTTTTTTCAGTATAAAATGAATGTAATATTATATTTTATTTTTATTAGACACGTGTTAGCAGCGACATATATCTATTGCAAGGGATTACCAATAAAAAAAAATAAAAATCGACCTGTAGTTAACCAAGGATCATCATTCCAATGGATTGCGCATAATATAGAAATTGTAACGCGTGTATTTCTAAGAGTTTTGCACTGATACGATATATACAATTTTAAAGTGTAATCAATCCCATTTCTTTCTTTAAAACACTGATTTTCCTGTAATATAAACTCAATAGAATCGCTCAATTGACAGGTTTAGACCAACAAATTATAAATGTTAATTTTATCGAGCGCGAAAAGATTTTTCATAAATGGGTTAAAGTCACCCGCGGGGTGCAAAGTCACCCGTATTTACGGTAAATGGGTAGTTAATTTTCGACGCCACTGTATGTGGTTTTTATATTTCATTTTTATTTAGAATGAATTAGAAGTGAATTCAAGGCTGTCAAGTTATTTTAAATATGCAATTCGCTTTTTCGAAATATATGGTTAATAATATGGATATAGTCACAGGTGGACATATACATCCACAGCCCAGCTAAAAGAAAAATACATAATAATTTTATTCATGATTATTGGAGACCAATAAGTGCCTGTGATGATAAGCATAAATTGGTTTAAATTGACTCACTCAAACATAGCCTTTTTAAATCATGAAATGGCTGAAAGTCAGGTGGGCATATTGTGTATTTTGCTTATAGCTGGGCTGTACATGTACAATTTATGTATACAGCCACAGCCCAGTTAAAAGCAAAATACACAATAATTTTATTAATGGTTATTGAAGGCTAATAAGTGCATGTGATGATAAGCATAAATTGATTTAAATCGACTCACTCAAACATAGCCTTTTTAAACCATGAAATGGCTGAAAATAGTGATTTTTCGAA